TGAAGAACGCTACCACTGTCCTCTGCGACCAGTGTCCTTGAAACATACTCTCCCCGCTCTGGGTTGTGCATTTCTTATTCTCCAGGTCTAAACACACCTAGAGGTTCAGCAAATGTTGAGAGAGAGAGAGAGAGAGAGAGACAGAGAGAAAGACAGAGTGAAGAAGACAGGAAATAGGGGCGAGGAAAGGAGAAAGGAGGTAAAGAGACAGAAGAGGAAGGAAAGGAGAAAGGAAGAAGAGGGGATAGCTGTGAGCTCGAACAGTCCAGGGTTGAGGAGAAAAGCACTCCGGAACAGACCTGCCCGATGCCTACCAGTCTGGAACTCAAGTGATTTAGCTTTGTAGTGCTCATCTGAAAAGTAGGGGAATAATGCAATACCCACCACCTAGGCTGACTGCAGAGTTAAATGAGACAATCCAGGCCAAGCGATTACAAGGGTGCCTGGCACAGGCACTCAACACCAACAGCCCAAAATGACTATTCTTTGTTCTCGCTGTAGCCCCTCCAGCGTCCAGGCACACAGGTGCCTTCAGTAAGCCTTGATCAGACATGACCTGTGACCCTGGCCCAGGACCTCTCACACTTTCAGACTCAGACTCTCCATGCACACGTTTGGAAACCTACCCTAAGCACGGCGTGGGAGGAGGCAGTGTGGGTACTCGTCCCTGCAGACCTGGGGAGAATGTGGGGGGAGAAGCGTCCTGGCTCGGGGCTACCACCCACTCCAGGCCTCGGCGTCCTCGGCCACAGCTCCCTCCTGGTGACTCAGACCGGCGCGGGCCGCCTGTTTGGAGGGATAATGATAGGACAGCTGCTGGGGCCAGCGCCGCGAGGGCCCCTCGCCCGGCCGGCCCGGGAAAAACGAAGCAGCCATCAGATGCCAAGGGGCCGGTCGGCCGGGACAGGAGGTGAAAGGGGACCCGGCCTCCAGCTCCTGGCCAGGCCAGCTCGAGAGGCCACGCTGGTCGCCCTTGAGGTGGGGGGCCACGGGGCTGCGGATTCCCAAGAGCCACCCAGTCCCGGCCCGGAGCCTCGCCCCAGGATGTCGCGCCACAAGGAGGGCGCAGGAGCCCGGACAGTCCAGCGGCCGGAGGAGAGGGCTGGAAGGACGTGGCAGGGAAGCCCAGGAGCCCCGACCCCCAACCGTGGAGTTTGACACCTGTCCCCGGGCCGGCTCACCACGTCCAGATCCGCCGCCAGGGGCCAATGGCCAGGCCAGCTCGAGAGGCCGCGCTGGTCGCCCTTGAGGTGGGGGGCCACGGGGCTGCGGATTCCCAAGAGCCACCCAGTCCCGGCC